CATAAATTTAATTTAGGATATTTATTTATTCAAAATCGTTTTTCAATAATAAGTGTTATTTAATAAGAAAACAAATTGAATTATGATAATAGTGCGTTTTTGGTATGTTTGCGTTGCAGTTTGCTTTGGTCCCCTGTTACATGTTCTTCCAGTTTAAAGCAATTAACTAAATTGTTAATAGAAAAATTCAAGTTTTTAAACTGAACCACAAAATAATATAATTCAGTTTTTAATAAAAATAACTTACTTTTTATAGTGTAATATAATATAGATAATCTATAGTTTAGTACATTTAGACTAATCATGACTTGCTCTTGCCACAAATATTATTTTTTATCTTCATGTAACACACAATAATAATATATGAAAAAATAATCACATTCATATTTATATCCACAACATACATCACAATTATCAAAGTCAAGCATCTAAGTTTATCAACATGCTTGATTCATTTTCATAATAAATATTCATCAACAATTTAAATAAAATAGACATTTGATTTTATTTTCAAAAGACTAGTATATCGAATTAAACTTAGAGGTTTTGTATTTGTCATATAATCTTTCACATAGTAGAGTCACATCTTATGAACTAAATCTTTCTCATATGATAAGATAAATCCATATACCATCCACGAGACACAATAATTTTTCATGTCGTTCTTCTAGAACATAGGAATCTCCGTCAACTTTCACCACATAATATCTTTCTTTATGTGGGTCTAATATTAGTAAAAAGAATATAACATCATTTTCATTCGAAGCACGTCCTAAAATCACTTAATGTAGTATTTTCTCCATAGAAATAACTACATCCATATCAATCACACACACACACACGCTCGTACGCACGCACGCACACACACACATATATATATCAAATAATATTTCACAATAAAGTTTTGCATAACCTCAAATTTTACTAAACCAAACACACACTTAGTAAATTTTTGGTAAAATCTCAAACTCCACTACACCACACATTCTTAGTATATTTACCTAAGACTCTAATAAACCAAACATCTAATGCATTTTCATCTCATAAAACCAATTATATTTCATGACTACTAGGATGTTCCTTTCTCTTACTTAATAAGCATGTACACTCGTCAAGCAAGTGTATTATATGGTGAGCATATTGTCCAATAAGTTTATTTTTTCCCTTTGTGCTCTATATTTTTTCACAAGTTTATTTTTTTTAGTGAGCGAACTAACTTGTCCAATGGCCAAGTCCAATAACAAAAGTTCAAAAAAATTCGTTTAGTGAACTTAGACCTTGTTCCATGACCCAACCACCTTAAACTCTTTAAAATTTTAATAAAATATTTTCAGTCAACGATAAACAACACTTGTCTAGTGACCAAAACCCTAGGAAGCCAAATCTACTAGGCTTTCTCAATAGGTGTATCTTTTGTAGCTCTCTTTAAAAATTATATTTTTCACTCTTGCTCAACAGGTGTTGGCTCATCCAACGAGTGCATCATTTGTCAAGTATTGTCTACTTTGAGTTAGAGACTAATAGATACATTACAAGAAAGTCGCGTATTATTCACAAACATAATTTTTCAATAAACACCAAATGCAAAAAGAACATTATATTAGTCCCAATATTTATGAAATTTCGACATCATCCTTTCAACCATATATCTTATAACTACATCTTCATCTTTTGCACTTTCCATTAAAAGACATTGAATTTTACAAACTTGTAAAGAGTACAAGTTGGATGCAGGATAACTTGAGGCAGAAATGAGATTTGTAATATCATAAAATAACAACAAGAAATCACTAATTTTTTTTTCTCCTTTCCATTTCTCCTTAAATGGACGATACTTGTAATTCTCATCAACTAAGTGTAAACTTTCAAAAAACTAGTTGGTATTTAAGGTCACTTTAAAGCATCAAATTGAGTTTCACCTTATAGAAACATTTATACACAAAACATTTGATGCATCAATGTCTCCTATTTTTTTTAAAGAATTTTTTAAATTTAATCATTTTACTCTCAGAACCCCTAAAATACTTGATGTTCTCCCTAATTTTATCTAAAACATCACCAACTCCTAAGTTTTTTATACTCAACAAATTTGAAAGGTAAACCATGTCAAATAATTAAATTAACACATAATTCATGGGATTCTATTTGATTTTTTTTAAACTTTGCTTGTATGTCCATAATCATTTGACTTATATCTTCCTATTTGCTTTTACTACATCTTCCAAAGTTACATTTTAAATGGGAAGTCCTATATTTTTACTACCAATTATATATTTTTTGTTACACCCATTACACCTCGCCCTATCTTTTTCATCATCACAAACACCAATTTTAGTAAAGAATTTCAACCATCAGATGTTTCTAACTTATCCCTTTTATTATTGACTTCAAAACTTTCATTCTGAAAAACATATTCAACCGCATTTCGGTTACATGATTGTTATCATGGACATGAACATTACCACCAAGTTTACTAATTGATTCATCCATTGTTTATATTGTTCAATCATGTTACAAATTAAAAAGTAATCTATCATATAAAAAATATATTGATTCTCCTTACAATATTAGTGGCAGTAAAAAAGGGTCAAAGCTACTAAACAAAAACTACTAAACCTATAAGTTTTCTCGTCTCATCTCATCTTTAAGCTAATTTTAATTTTAAGAATCTGTTATGGTGTCGTCTCCATGTTCTATGCTACTTTGATTGACTCTGCCCTCTGCTTTGGTCTAAAAAGATGGGGTGAGAATCATTATCGTTGACTCAAGAAGATGGGTGGGTGGGATTTGCCGCTCTTACTTATTGTGTGGTGTGGGCGCTTTCTCTCGTTAGTCACGTGTATTGTTGTGTAGGCAAACAAAACTACAACGTTTAATTAGTCACTAGTTGAAGGGTTAGCCCGTCTCTCCTTGCCTGTAATCTAATGGGCTGGTGGGTTAGACTTAGTGCCGTCAAAATGGGTTGAAACCCGTGAGCCAACCCGGCTCACCATGGGTTTGAGCCGGGTTAGGTTGCAAAAAAATACAAAAATTTTTATGCGAGCCAATTTTGACCTGGCTCACTAAGAACCCAGCTCACACGGGTTGAACTCGTGGTGGGTCGGGTTGGCTCACCAACCCACCTATTTTTTTAATTAAATTAAATTAATTATTCAAATCCTATTTTTTTTATTGAAATCAAATTAATTAAATTAATTATTCAAAATGCACAACTTTTACTTAGCAATAGAGCCTTTCGCGTTGATGTCTTTCCAAAAGTTTTCCTTTGCAAATAAAACCCTAAGATTATAGATTGGATAATATTATAGATGGAGATAAAGAAGAAGATGCTTCAAGAGAGCATGATACTATGGATTTATCTATTCATGACTCCAATTTAATAGATGGATAATATTATAGATTGGATTATTCAAGAATATATAATTTGTTTTATGTTGTTTTTAGACCTATCTACAAGCATTACAGTTTTATCTTGTGCTATATATTTTTGTTAATGGCTATATGTAGTTTCTTGGTCAAACGGTTGTGTATATCTCATTAAATTAAATTGGCAAAATTTTTTTATGTTTGATAGCTTAGAATATATATCACAATATATTTCTTTTGTTTCATTTTCTTTTATATCAATTGGTCCAATTATTACTATTTCAATTTGATCCATCAAAGTAACATGTTATAAGAATCTTAGAAGAAGAGGGTGAAAAAAAAGTTAATTAAGTGAGCCAATGAACCAACCCGTTTAACCTACCAACCCGTGGTGGGTCGAGTCGGGTTCAAATTTTTTTAGCTCGCTAATAAATGAGTCAGGTTAGGTTGGTTCACTAAATGGCCAACCCGTGATGGGTCGTATTATCCGTTTTGACAGCTCTAATTAGACTATTTTAGGATGAATGGTTCAAAAAACTAGTTCGGTCCTGACCCAATTTATCACCCTTAATTATAACAATACATAATATATAATTTATCAGCATTATTTTTACGTCCCTCCAACCCATTTTGTCATTCCTTATTGCAAAATACCAAATGCATAATAAATATTTATAAAATGTTGCATTACTTTTATCCAAACAAAGAACCAACATTATTCACAACGAATACATACATATATGCGAAACCTTCATAAAAAAAATTAAATATGAAAATTTACATCAAACACAAGTTTCTAAGTGTAAATATATAATTAATGTCTAAATATTATGCAACCCATTGTTTTAATGATAAAGTACTACAACCTATCATTCGTCAAATATATAACCAAACTAATTTATGGTAATAAATGTACGTGAATCTCGTGCGGTCACAGGGTATGATTCCTAGGTCATTTTATAGACATTTCCCTAGGTACAAGATCGTCTTCTATCATGACCAAATTTGGCGACACCCAGGACAATTCCGTTGGTTTTGCACACTCCAATGTTCAAAAGCCATATGAAAAGAAATTTATATGAAAACAAAAGAATAATGATACGAGGACACAATTTTACACACAGGAATAAAATGATTATAAAAAAATATTTTTTTTTTGTATTTTTTAAAAGAATAATAAGTAAAAAAGATAATATTAAATGAAAGTAAAAATTTGATGTTATTAGAAAGTGATTTTTAAGCCTAGCTCATCTCCACAAAATGTAAGGTGAGATTTGCATCTCACTTATATATTATAAATTGATTTTATTTCTAATCGACTTGGAATTTCCAACCGAAAATATCATTTTTTAAAAATAAAAACTGATTCAAAAACCATATGAATTTTTTTATATAAAAATAAAAAATAATAATAATAGGATTATACACTTCTATTCTCATTTGACATACAAGTAAAATAGTAATAAAAAAAATATTTTTTTTGTATTTTCACAAAAAAAAAATTATTAAATTAATGTAAAAAATTTGTATGTCAAGTATTATTTTTCAAATAAAAACGACCTATAGAAAGGTAGTTTGGCTCCCAAGAGAGGTTAATGAATCACGTAACACCACACTTTCCTTATTTTCCTCAACCTCGTTCTTTATTCTAAATAACCGTTAATAACCCTATCTCATTCCTTGTGCCCCATTTTTTAGTTCACAGTTTTCAAACTCTCATCTCTCACACCCCATTTTTCTTTTTCTTTCTCTCTAAGTGATGGCTTCAGACCCCAGCAGAAAGAGCCTGTTAAGCTCAAAGGCCATAGCTGATGCAGCTTCATGGTACTGTGCCTTTCTTCTTGTGGCCCTTTTGCTCCAAACCATGTTCAGATACAGCTCCATGCTTCCAAGCCACGTAGACAACAACCAACTCATTTCACAGCCATGCGAGGAAATCTATGTTGTTGGAGAAGGTGAGACACTTCACACAATAAGTGACAAGTGTAGTGACCCTTTCATAGTTGAGAACAACCCTCACATCCATGACCCTGATGATGTCTTCCCTGGCCTCGTTATTCATATCATGCCTACAAGTTAAGGTGTTTTATATAAGGAAGAATCGATTCTGTTAGAGGAATATAATAACCTTTCTTGTCATCATCTTTTTCTTTCTTTTTCACTTTATTCCTTTCTTGTATATAACTTCTCAGAATCAACATGAAGTTGAAAAGCTTTCTATGTTAACATTTTGTTTTATCATCTGTATCAATAAGGAAAACTTCATAGTTTATAGTCTTATCTAGAATAGCCTTTCTTGGAGGGTGCTTATGGTCTTTAATAAAACAAAATAGTGTGTAAATTCAGTTTTTCTCTTAGGTATTAACCTATAAGTACATGGAATATACTTAATATTGTGTTAATTATACTATTTTTAAGTGAAAGAGTGTTATATATTATGAAGTTTTCAATACATCGATTCTTTAATTGATGTTACAATTTCGTTAATGGAATTGTCGGCGGTATGAAAATTGTGAAGAACAAAAATCCATAGCTTTCATTGTCGTGGTTGAGAAATTATTCCAAATTCACCTATTAGTTAATAGAAACCACGAAAAGACTATTCTATAAGTCTTTACGCAATTTCTTTCCATAAAAAAAATACATCTCTTAGTTTTATTATTTTTGGTCGAGATTCATTTTCACATGCTTGATTTTGTCTTACACAAAGATGAATTTGGGTTTCCTTTGAAACGTCGCCTACCTATCTTGTCATGTTATGACCCTCGCTTTCGTAGCTGGTTATGATCTCCTTCATTCTTCACATGTTGATAAAGTGCCTTATTTTTTAAGGTTATTTTACGTTAATGAGGGAGTGTGTTTTAAGATCCATATTAAGTATCTTCTCTTCCTCCTCGTTCTTTGACTTCTATCATAGTTGGAATATTAAAACAAAAAGGAAATTTTTCGAAATTGATTAGTTAAGATGGAAACCCCGTGTATGTGTGTGTGTAATCGAGTTATTTTATTTATAGGAATTGAAACATAGCTTGCTCCTTTTTTTCTAGTGAAGCACTCCACCAATCTTTAGATGAAGATAAATGGTTTATATCTTCACGTTGTTTTTGGCCAATTTTATCTGTCATATCCAACTCACATCAAAGTTGTACAGGTACAATTAGGAATGTGTTTTGATAACCATAACCATTAGACATTGATACCACATTATACTCAATTTTGTCTTAAAAAAATATTTTAGTATGATAAAAAAATAATGTTAAAAATATTTTAGTTTCAACTATTAAAAATAGTTTCCATTCTTCTTCATCCATTTTTGTTCCATTTTTTAGTTTTAAATGTGTAGGAGTAATTAATTGGAGTTAGATGTAATGTATCTAAACTATACATATATTCTTCTAAATCATTAACACAAAAAAATGTTTTTAACGTTTATTATTTTAGATTTTTGGTGTTTGTGGAAGGTATGGTAGTCTCTGAACAAACATTAATTAACCTTTGTTGCGTGTTAATTAATGTTTGTTGCAAAAACAACATAAGTCAAATTGTGGATTTATTTTTAAAATAAAAGTGGCTAATATTTTCCTTCAATGAAACCTTGGAAAATTAATGGACAATACAAAAATACATAATAAAAAATTTTAAAACTTTTGAAGAAGTATGAGTATCTAAAATAAAAGTGTAAAGTATAGAAAAATAGGTAAAAAATACTAAGAAAATAAAAAGCATACCTTAAACTATGAATTTTTTAAAATTTCAGAACATTTCAGAAAAAAAATACCTTAAATGATGGTCAGCATGTTCATCACCCCATTTCGAACAACTTTGATTTTTGGATTGTCTTCATCTGATCCATACCAAAAGTTATGACAATTTAAAGTTTACAAACTCAAGGTAGAAACTAAAATCATAAAATCACAACTTTTAGGGCACACAACAATGCCTAGTGAGTGAAAACATCAACCTTAATGTACTATGTAATCGAAGAGGATGAAAACTTCATAAATGAGCACCACAATGGCAAGATGAATGGAAATGCGTTGAAAAACTTGCTCATACGAGTTTGGCGTCATCGCTGCACTTCCGTAGGAGGTTTAACATAAACGTGAAAGATAAAGATGAAGGTGGTTACATTGTTTCTGAAATTTTAAAAGAAAAATTGACATCAGACACCCTCAGAACAAACATCAATTTCTAATTTAATGTCAATCGTAAGGCCAACACATGTTAAATGACATCGGACCTAGGGTAGTTTAACGTGTGTGTTGGCCTTAGGGTCAATGTTAAATTTCAAATTGACATTTGTTGTGAATGGATTTGACATTAATTTGGATTTAATATTTATAAAAATGTCATTACATATTTCTAACATCAAATTTTACTACTTACGACGTGGACATGACTCTTATGTTCTTTCATTGTTCTTCATGTGCATGATTTGTCATTTATGCTTTTTTGTAGTATCTAAATATTGGAAAGTGAATTAGAACCTAGTTAAGGATTGAACAAAAAAGAGGTTTGGTTCTAAACATAGAATATAATCTCTTAATCATTCTAAGCATATTCTCTTAATGCAAACTCTATGTTAAAATGACCAAGGGACTATTATTTTCACCTAGAGGTTTATAACTTGTCTATAAGGAATCAAGAGTTGTGAACTCATGATGAATACTTGAGTTATGTTAGAAGTGAGTCTTTTCCTTGATCACTTCATATAACTTCAATTTAGTAGCTTTATATGCTTTTAATCTAATTTCATCTCATGCTTAATTTGAATCAATTGATGTTTACATTCATAGCTTGAATAATAAAATATACATCATTGACTAAACCAACGTAAATCTCTTGAGAAATGATAATTGGACATTTCTCTTTACTACTTGCATGACTTTGTACATCTGTCAAATAGTTAACAAATACCATGACAATTTGAGAAAAACAAAAACATTGAGATTTATTCATCATTATCACATATAATTATAATTGAAATATGAAATATAAAATTTTATTAAATAGTAAGATCAAAATGGACTAAACTTTACATGAAAGGTGTTTAAAATGAAGCTCAATAGGTTATTAAACAATCTTAAAGAAGATGAGAGTATTTAGAAAACTAGTTGCAAATATATAGATCTAGATTTTCATGTATACATTTCATTTTCTTTAACTATAAAAGTGTATTATTCAATTTTTTTTCAAAATATGTATAAAATTGAATTCTAAAATAGTTTGGTCACACATTCACATTTTGTTACGTTAAGAAAATATTACAAGTTGAAAATAATTCCAAACCAAAATTACTCATTTTTGTCAAGTTGACTCATCCCTCCTTATATTTAGTTAAGTAAATTAGTTTCTAAATTTATATTTCATAAACCACATAGGCCTCCAAATCCAAAATTTCTTTGAGTTAAAAATGTCAATGTAGTAAGAATTTTACTAAAAGTTTTCAAGATGCCAGTTTCATTCTTGAAAAGGGTTCTTGAGGTTTAGGGATGAAGAAAGGGGAATTTGACCCACTCCTTAAGAAGTAACTTTGGAATCATTAACTAAAGTAATAACATAAAGAGTTGTTGGATAAGAAATAGAGGAAAAAGTGAAGCATTACCAAAGATATGATCAGAGGTGCCTCAATCATTACTCATGAACTTTGACACTCCAATTTGAGATATGAAATTTTTTGACAAAATAGAATGGATGAAAGAAGGTGCTTGACTACGAGATTTTAACTTGAGATGTTCTTGATATTCTTCATTGGAAAACTTGGGCTACAATACTTTAGATATGGAAATATTAGCTACCTTATGAGGAAAACCATGTAGAGAGTAACAATTTTTTTGGATGTTACCAATTCTCTTACAATGTGTAAATTAAAGACGTACTTCTGCATTGCCACAATCTTCCTTTTTACAAGTAGGCATGTTAAGTATAGATATAGTCCAAAAATGCAATAGTTAAACTTAGGGTTTCAAGACAGAACCTAGGGTTTGAGGGAGAGAAACTGTGATTAATACATGAAGACACACTAAATGCTCTTAGAATGAAGAACTGAATATGTCAACTGGATGAGGAAGCTTTGATGAGTTTGATTGTCTTGTCCTGGGAAGGCTACGACTATTGAAAGGCGGTGCGTAAGCAACGCTCCAGATTTGGTAGTTTCTAGTGGAGAACAATTAGGTTTGCTGTAAGATCCTTGAAAAATATTTGTAAGTTAAATACTAGA